GCTACCGCAGCTCAAACATACGGCAACCAGGGATGTACCAAACAACTACCCAATTCTCTGTAGTATCGGGAGAGCGATAAGTCAAATAAAGTTTCCCGCAGTAAAGTTAAACAACCTGACCAAAACTAGCTACTCTCGGCTAATCAGTGAGCGTAGATGTATTACCTGCTTAATATTGTAAAAATCCAGTTTTACTACTATTGAAACTACCGACTGTAGTTGGACCGCAGACGTGATTTGTTGCGAAATAAGCCGCAGACGTTGAATTAGTTCCAACTGCTCGAGTTAAGAAGATCTCCGGAGCTCTCACTGCCTCTCTGACTACTTTTTTGTCCTCCTCTCTGTTGAAGAAAACATCATCCAACAAATCGGAGCCCGCCGCCATCTTTGCCTGCCAACGCTAGTGCGTTGGACGCATGCGCCGATTGGACACGCCTTTCCACAACGTAATGCTTGTTAGGCATTTTGATTGGTTGGTTGAAGAAAATAAACTCCGAAGCAAGTTGTTTTTGTACTATTGGCATTTTCTCCACAGTCACTTTATGATTAGTACAACGAAAATAAGATGCAAACTTTACTAACATTGTGGAAACAGTTTGAATTCTTTCTTTTTTTTAAACGGCTGCTTTTAATTTATGTTCTTTTTCAAAGATTGTATGAATAACAAATGGTTTTATTCTTAAAATAATTACCACAACTTTCTTAAAGAGTTTTGCAGGATTTTATTCATCATTTAATTAAGATACACTTGTTATCAGGAAAAATCTATCTTGCTCATTTATCCTTTGAAAAACAAATAAAAAAATCTACCTTGTAAGGTTGACATCATATCAGACTGGATGAGGCAACTGCTGACATAAGTTGGCGTAATTTGCTCATGGGCAGATTTTAAGTATTCCTTTTAGATCTGTTTCACAAAACCAAGATAAGGGATTAAGCTAGGGATTTTACAGACATCCTAATTAAACCTAGACTTGGCTTCACAGAAGCATTAACATAAATTATTACAGTATGTGAAGTTAGCCTGCTCCAGACCAGGGAAACAGACAGGCTTAGGTAATCCTGGAGCCTGATCTGCTCAGTCAGCATCATAAATCAACAAGTTTTGCCAACCTACATTAAAATTACTGCTTCTATTTAGTTGAGTAGTTTGATTATTTAACATCATATTTGGACATCGTTACTGCTCAATTGTGTTTTTGAAGGCTCTTCTAAATCTCACAGGTATACCTTTAATAGACTAATGCATGTATTGAGGAGAGAATTTAAGTTATAGAAGAAAAAGGGGTTTTCCTTAAAGTCATGCTGGAACAAAAGCTCCAAACATGTGCCTTCTTTTACAACGGCATCTTCATTGTTGAATTTTTCCCAAAATTTACCATCAGAACCTGAGTTAACCTGTGTAACCTGTCCATAATATTTAAACTATAATCTATAATCAGTTTATGTCTCAGTGTAAGTTAGAGAGCCCAGTCAGTGATTACATTTGTACCACTTGTTTTTATATATATATATATATATATATATATATATA